GCCAAAAAATACGGAAACTAATCGGATAACCTGGTAACTTGTGAGTATAGGTTTTCATGGAAGCGGTTCTGATTTTACAGGTTGCCATGAGCGACATTTTTTAGAAGTCGATATATTCATATTTTTGGGGGGTGTCCTATGATTTTGCGCTGCGCTGTATCTGTTGCAACTCTGTATTCAACTCCGTCGACTCCGTGATCTTCAGAGAAGGAAATCCCCGGAGGCAAACTCTTGTCAATTGGTTTTTTAGCCGCTACTGCAATTCGAGACTTGGAATGATCCGAGATCATTTCACTCGCTGAGAATCTGTGATATTTATGAAACACTATTATAAACATTTTGCATGTTGTTTGATTTGTTTTTGGGAGTTATTCTTGCTACAGTTTATGATGCGGTAGCCGTTGTGAGAATAAGTCCACGGTTTCTTTTTGAATAACGGACACATAAAAATGAATATGGCTGAACAAAAATGACTGTTATTTAGCCCATATAGACCGAAGTTGCGCGAAATACTCCTCAGTTCTCTCGTTTGTGTTTCCATTGAAAATTGTAGGTATTTCAGCATCAATTCCAAACGAGCAGCAACAGCAGGAAGCGAGTAGTCGGCGATTTCCACAGAGGGTTACTAACGTCCACCAAACGAGTACGGTGAAACAACTGAAAGTATCAGGAACGCTATCAAAATCAGATTAGTTAGTTAAGACCAAGTCATTAGCAACATCTGACTTTTGATCTTCCACCGAACTTTCTAAAATGAATATGTTCTGCTGTTAAAGGCAATGTGTTGCGTTGAGGCAAAAATCACTGCATACAAAAGGGCCGTTGAAGTTACAGGAAAGATGCATTTTTCCAAACTGTCATAGTTTACACTTGTAAGTACAGAGAAATTTCACGGAGCGACTAAAAATCTCAGAAGCAAGTCAGCCGACTAGTAGGAAGCATACCGCTAAGGAATTCTAGGTTCCGTCTCTATTTTGTTTGAAACATGCCAGCTTCGGGGTGCTCCCTCGCTTGTTTCATCTTTTTTGGTCGCCTTGTCTCGCCATCACACCACATCCGACCTTAAAATGTTACGCTAAAATCAAGGCCTTGATTTTAGCGTTCCCGATTAGTTCTGAATATTGAGCAACTTTCAGTTCATTCCGTAGTTCAGTCATTACTACGAAGAGTCCTATACAACAGTTTTATCCCGGGGCTTGCCTCGAAGCAAATGCATGTCAATATTTACCAAACGTAAAAGCAAGTTCGGGAATCGGATGTAAGAGACGAAATAATTGTGGCCTATTTGAACTAGATACGATAATTTGATAGCGATCAAGTATGAAAGCAGAGGTCCCAAATGGTGCTGTGGTATTAAAAAACGAACGAAAATATAAAAATCCAAAAACTGAGACCCTCATCCGACTCGTTGACTCGGGAAGAGATTACGGTATAGGCTTCGTGAGGGTGCTTTGATAGTATATAAAAATAAAGGATAAAGGATAAAGCATTTGCCGTTGATCAATCCCTTTTTGGGATGCGGCACGCATTCTACTTCCATTTGTACATTCGTAGTGGCGTTTGAATGCGATGTGGCCTATACAATGACTTGCGGGGGCCAGCCGATGTACAAGTCAGTGTTTTTATCCTCCCAGACAAGTCTGGTACCAATTAACCGACCCCGGAGGGATGGAAGGCTTGGTTGGCCCGGGCGACTCACGACCCAGGATTTGATCCCCGGACCGCTCGCGTGGTAAGCGTGCCACTTGCCACTACACCACTTCCGCCCTTTTACAAGGGCAGATATTTCTTAAAACTGAATGACACATTAATATGAAGTGGATGCTCCACAGCAGGTGGTGTTTGTACTATGGAATCATAAATTTCGACTGATTGTTCTGTCGCAAGGGTAGTAAGTTTTCCTTAATCGACAAAGTCTTGTGAGTTCGAGTCGTCACCACAGATAGCGAGCTAAATTACGGTGCTTACGACAGGAGGGAGGGCTTTCCCTTTCCTTCCTGCCTTGGTGTACGCCTGCCGGCTTGTACTTGAGCAGGTAGGACATTCAAAGCGCTGTGAGAAAGACGATGTCAGAAAATTCTCGGTTCCAAAGGTATTGGAAAAGGCCAGAGCTTCGAATTCCGCCAATAATCGAAGATCAGTAAGTCCAATCGTCGTTCGCGTTTTGTGATCACCGTTGGACAAGACACTTGCCGAACAGCCCTAGTGATGTTTACTGAACACAAGCACGATTACCGGTCGGATGGTCAGTCACTTTTTGGCAAAAGCTTTGAGCCCCCAATGATCTCGTTTTCCTATGATCCTCTCTTTGGTTGTGCTTTCAAGGAAGTAGAGATTGAAAAAATCAATATCGTTTTCTACCAGGATAGATCTAACTGTTTTCCACACACTACCTTATAAGGGTGTCGTGGAGGAAAAATTTGATAGTGACGGGGAAACACTTGGCGATAACTTCAAGTCGGCCATTAGCGAAACCCTATTCACCTCACTCGCTACTCCATGTGGCTTCCATTCATTTGCTAGACTTTATCCTATTTTGCTACACAAGCATAACTTCTGAATTAATTGAAACAAATGGATTTTTTGCTTGAACGATTCGAATGTGTTCGTCCGATGCGTATGTAAAGTGAAGAGATCTGAAGCCTGGTGAAGGCGCTCTGGAGCCCGAAATCCGACTGGCTTTTATTGGCAGAAAGACCCAGGGGTGAAGATGAAGACACTTTCTTACATTGCCATGATGTGTGCCTTTCGCAGTGAGGTTGATCCAAACAGAGTTGTCTAATTACGTGCCATATTTGAAAACAAGTTGTTGTTAAGAGTGAGGACTCGAGTTCATCAACTATTTTTCAATTCGTTCAAGTCAATGTTTTTCTGGGTTGCCATAATTATCGTTCATCATGAATCTAGAAGGAAGAGTGTCTCCTGTAATTGGTAGGGAGGGAGGCGCAGTAAAAGGGAAGGGCTTTTGCTTACATCAGAGAAAAAATCTTGCAACAATGCATGAACTTCCATGGACGTTCGCGTGTGCTGATATTTAAAGTGGTGACCGAGTTCATCAAGGCAAAGGGAGCCTCCCCTATTGCATCATGATGAACGAAGCGATTTTAACCAGCAGCATCGGATGAGTGCCGGACTGATAAAAAAAATTTTGTGCATTTTTGAATCGGATGTTCAATGAGATACTACCCACACTTCTCAAGCGTCATGGAAGGAGAATCCGTCATAACGTAAGGCTTTCAATGTATATCAAGTTAGGCTATTGCTAAACAAGCAAAGAAACACTGCTGCCATTACATATATTGACGTATTTCTCAGTTTTCTTCCTTCACAACTCTCTCCTCCCCACTGAGTTAATGATCCAGCAGAACGGCATTCCGGCTACTTGTCATGAGCAATTCATGAGCCTCAGTGGGCGTGCCCCATAGCTTAGATATTGAATTCTTGTAGATACCAGCAGGATGCAATTTGCGTTGTGGGATGGCTTCACCCTCTTCGTACCTGTGATATTTCCTAGCCGAGAAACGCTTGAATCGTGGCCCAGCTTTAAAATCCTATACGCGACCGAGATTGGATCCATTGTAATTGCACTTCCCGGATTTATCCTCCTAATACGAGCTCTTGACAGATCGGTTCAACTGTTCCACAAAAACCTTATCCGAGTGATGCAGGTATTACAGATATTCTATCCCGGCCTATATATTTTGATTATTTCTGAAATTAATTCCAAAGTTGTTAGAAGGAGTTCCAAAATGTGAGGCCAAGCTGCAAGTTTATGCTTCTTAGCCTCATTCCATCAGCTGATTCAAAATCGAAGTCATTTTGTCCTGAGTAGTCGTAGAACGATAGAATTTCACTGCGCACATCATCTCTTCACAATGTTTAGGTGCATCTTATGTATTCGTTCGCGATATCAGTAACAATCAACGCTTCGTAATTGGCTGTTCCTACCCTCACCTGTGGGAGATTCATTTATAGAAAGGTAAAGTGTAGTAGAGTCTCGATCCCTTACACAAGATAAGATGAGAGGTTTATTGGATTGAATATAGGCACACAGATATATATATATACACAAATGGAATAGAAGGCAAGAACACTTCAGGCGAGACCATGGACGGGACCACAATAGGCACGCATACCCCCTGGAAAGGTAGTACGCGATGCAGGCACTTGACGATGAGCGTATCAGACGTGTGACCCAGGGCAGCGAATACAGGACGTCCTCAGCGCCTCGGAACGCCGCCTCTCTGGATCCTCGCGGGCATCTCGACTGCCCCTCAACTCGTCGCCGTTCCCTCGGGTTATCCCGTTATCTCCGTCGCTCATCTCCGGCCGTCCAACCTGGAAAGCATCTCGTGTTGACTTTAGCATACCGTATCCTTCACAGTGTTTCACAGGACGCGCTCGATAATCCACTGGAGTGATCCCTTCGGTGGGTTAGATGAACCTGTTTGCATAATTCATTGACGTGCCCTTTACTCTGTTCGCAACAACTCAACAGAAGCTTCAAAAACTTGTCAATGCTTGAGACGAGTAGCTCTGAGTTGCCCTACTATTGCTCGGTATGTATCTGCCATACAGATCTGTCAACTGCACTACGGAGTGTTCCTTCAATTTATCTATACCAGTTGGCGCCGCACGCATTGCGCGCGCAACACAGATCTGCTGCGAACTTTGATGGTGCGACAAAAATTTTCATATTTGGCTTGATACACTACGAATATCTGAATCCTCAGCTAAATTCAATCCGCTCCATCATCGACGGCTTTCAACCTTTTTTTCTTCGTCAACCATTATCCTCTTTTTCTCGGTCTCCGGACTGCTTCCGGACAATAAATCTCGTGGCAAACTCCGCCTACTTCGGTGCGTGCCCCGCCCACCAATAGCAAAATTTGGCCCCCTTCCTTTCGCCGACCTCTACCCCCTTTTTCACCGGTCTCTGGGACCTCTTGGAACCAAATTACGACACTTTTGGCAAACTCCGCCCAATTATGTGCATGCTCCGCCCACTAATAGCAGTTGACCTCCTTTCCTTTGCCGGCCTCTACTCCCTTTCTCCCGGCCTCCGGGACTTGTTTGGAGCCGAGTTTTATATTTTCGTCGCAAACTCCGCCCACTTTGGTCAAGCCCCGCCCACCGATGACAGTTAACCTCCACTCCTCCACCCACCTCTATCCACCTTTTTCCCGGCCTCCGGGACTTCTTGGAGCCGAGTTATGAATTTTCGTCGCAAACTCCGCCCACTTTGGTCAAGCCCCGCCCACCATTGACAGCTGGCCTCCACTCCTCCATACACCTCTATCCACCTTTTTCCGGCTCTTTAGACTTCCCCGACCCGAATTATGAGGGCTTGTAGAAAATGCTGTACACTTCAGAGCGCGCCCCGCCCATTCTGGGCGGGCCTCCGCCCACGTCATGTATGCAGGAAACACCTTAGACATTGCTCCCTTACACCAAATTGTTTTCTGCTCTGTAGGCTTTCTCCCAACCGAGTTATGAAATTTTTCATAAAGCACTGCTTTTTTAGAGAACGCCCCGCCCACCGGGGGTGGGTCTCCCTAATTCGATGTGACTTACCAATGCACACCTTAACCCACTTTTTGGCCCAGTTTCGAGGTCGTTTTGTCACTGAAATCGAAATCTTGGTCTTTGGTACAATTCATTTCGACGCACGCCACGCCCTCTGTGGGCGGGGCTCCGCTTAGCTGATGTGTGTTTTGTATTACGTGAGACCCTGCCCACCCATCCCACACTTGACCCGGTCCCTCCAGGCGGATCCCGAGGAGCTAGGGAATTTCGTGACAGACATACAGAACGACACACACACGACACACGACACACGACACACGACACACGACAGACGAAGCGCTTTATAGTAAGTAGGATCCGGCGGCACGCTGCGTGTCTCCGTTATACTGTGGCCGTTCTTGAAGGAATCCTTGCTGTGATAAAAGTCATGACCTCTCCATCTCGGTTATGCTGGCTTTGCAACCCATGGTCCAAGATAGTTGAACGTAAAATTGCATTTTATTCGGTAAACGATGTTTCACAAGAATGCTGGGTTGTGAACAAAACTTTCGCCCCAGGCGGGACTAGAACCCGCACCTCTCGCTTTCCGGGCAAGTGCGCTACCAGTTACGCTACCGGGGCACCATTTCATTCCAACTCAGCTTTTCATGGTATACGTACCATAGCTTTCAGCACTCACACGTATAACGTGTTGAGCCGGTTAGCCGATATCGGCAATGACCGCGAGGCTGAAAGCTTTAGCAGTTGATTTTGACTTGTTTTTGATTGTTAACTGCTGTTTTTAGCCGCAGTTCCGGGCAAGTGCGCAGTTTTGTTCACAACCCAGCATCTTGTGAAACATTTGCAAGGTGAAATACATACGCAAGGTGTGTAAAACCCAACACGTTATACGTGTGAGTGCTGAAAGCTATGGTACGTATACCATGAAAGAGCTGAGTTGGGATGAAATGGTGCCCCGGTAGCGTAACTGGTAGCGCACTTGCCCGGAAAGTGAGAGGTGCGGGTTCTAGTCCCGCCTGGGGCGAAAAAGCTTTTTTATCAAAACCAAGCATTCTTGTGAAACATTCGCAAGGCGAACTGCTGCCAAAAACGCAGTTAACAACCAAAAACAAGTCAAAATTCGGTAAACAGTTTCAAAACAACAAGAGGAATTGCCTACACGTTTCCGTTTCCGCCGTACATCTGTCACAAAATACGGCGGCGGCGGAAGCGCCTCCAACTTGGTTCACGGAATGCTGTCAATAGAAACTCTTTTCGACCTTTCCTCATTACATTGACTCACATTTCTACTGCATCATATTCTTTCGTTGTACTGTTTCTATTCTCCAATCGGCTTCCACCGGATTCTTTCTTTACGCCGTGTGAGCACCTGGCCGCCGAGCGCACTCTCCCGATACCCCATCTAACGGCACCGCACACTTCAAAGTGTCTAATAAAGTGTGTGTTTTTGTAAGCTGGTCTTCTTTTCGGGAAACCGAATTTTGGCAATTAACTGAGAGGCCTCGTGCTACGAAACACTCCTCCTTCCTTCCTCGAAGTCAATAACGTCTCAGTGCACATTAAGCAGTTAATATCGCCTAACTTTTGTGGAAAATTTTTGGACTGAATTTTTTTCTTTGTTTCAAAAGTATGTGGACACTTGAAGGAGATCAGATTTTGGCGTCGAAATTTTCACCGGTTTTGTTTCCGAATACTGCCTGCCGTCCATTACACTCGTCATGTCTATTCGTGGAAAATTTCTTTTCTGAAAGGAAATCTACGATCCTTGACTGCCTCAAAAACAAGCAAAGAGTACACACGTCATGTTTAATGTCCTTCATGATTGTCGGACGCGAGCTCGGCTTTGCCAGCCTTTAACGAAATTCACGCCGCTCCAATCACTAGAAAAACGCTGAGAAAAGCGAGGCCCAGTAAACGTCCTTTAGATTATGCCTCAAAGGATGTCTGAGCTCTCAGAATCTCTAGAGGCCCCACTAAATTTAATCACAGTCATGTGTGAAGTGTCCGCATGATTTCGAAACAACATAAAGAAATTCCATCCTGAATTTTTACGTGAAAGTAAGGCGAATATTATCTAGCTTAAGCTGTTCAATAGTCATGGTAGGTCCTTCATACATCTGTTTATACTTTTTCAAACTTAGTAACCACAACTTCTAAAAGCAGGGTGTGCCTGTGACACTTTTAGAGAGTGTCGCTCAAAACTAGGCAACAAGTCGAACTGCTTGAGTACGCAGGCAATCGCCTGCATTTCATACGTACTGCCATTTGAAAATAGCAGTCGACATTTGATATGTGTTATGTTGGAGCTTTATAATAATTACGTTTGAGCATTTGTTGGTCCTTTATGCATATGCATTCCTACCAAAATTGGTGGTAAACAACTGGGGCCTCAGAATGGTGCCAAATGCTCAGCTTTGCAAAACAGTGTTGTGGTCGCGATCAAAGCGGTGGCTGGGCTCCACAAGTACACGTGTTCAACCTTTTGATATCTTGTGATCTCATGCAACATATACACTATAAAGCTTGATCGTCGACGTTTATATCAATCGCCTTATGGACCTCTTATAGAACGAAGCAATTCTGGGAACGCTAAGGGGAAGGGTAGAAGAATAACAAATTTCTGCTAGCAGAACAGAAACTCAGTGGTCAGCGCCCTTGTGTTTCATATTCACGTAAGTGTGCATAAGTGCACCCAATTACTACTCTAGTGCGAAGTATCCAATTTTTATAAAATGTCTTCATCTTAGCAATAAAAAAGCGATAGGCTGGCAGACCCAAACAAAAAATTAAATGACATGCCGTCAAATGAATCACAGCTTGTTGTATGCCATTCCATTTTAATCGTCAATGTTTACCTGATAATGGGTATGGTAGCTAATAGAGAAAGGACGAACTGGTCATGTCATCTTCCCACATATTGAAAGAATTTTGAAACACATTCACGATAGTAAACAAATCTTGCCATTTCAGATATCGACATTTCAGATATCGAACGCGATATGGTGCTTTTCCTTCTGCTGGAAATACGATTCGCATCGCTGTGTTCACTGACAACTGTGATCCCAGCCATGGTTGTTGAACGGACTTTTGCGTCACGTTTTGTCAGCATCTATGAAAGAATACCGAAGCCTTGGGATCTCTTTATCTCGTGAACATCGCCTCTCTTGTACTCGGTGCATCAATTTATTTCCTCTGCTCGCTAGGCAAGTACACATACTTCATATACACTCAAACTCTCTGGTAATCACACATATATAACCATCAAAAATTAGGTAGTCCGTTGCATCCCAATAGCAGCCGTTGCCCTGTCGAGCTGTTCACATTTTTCCACGATTCCTCTGATTGCATCCTTACGATTATGACCGAACTTCTGGGCAGTATGTTCTCGCACATGCAGAAGGGAAGGCAAGCTAAGAGGAGTAAAGGGGAGAAATAAAATATCTTTAAATGACCTCTCGTTTAGCCAATAAGATTTATTATTGTATACGTCGAATCAATTGGCGTGAGGTAAGCATCGACTTTGCCCACATACGGTCCGAGAGTTGAGCATTGACTTCAGTTAGATCACCCAGGTGGCCAATTCGGTTTATAAATAGCAACAAGCAAGATGCACAAACTCTAAATTGCGGAACTTGGTAAGAACACACGTTTCGCAGCTAACGCGTTGAAGAGAGCGTAAAGAAGTTGCCCAAGCTTGTCTCCTGAGCCATATACCATCAACGAGAAAATAATGAAACCGCCACCCATCATCCCGAACATCAGAAAGATGAAAGAGGCACGCAAGAGCAGCTATATAAAGACACGATAAATCTATTTGCAAAGAAAAAAAACTTATATTCGACAGAGAATCAGCAGAAAAAATATTGATTCGGATTCTCCGTCACTATTCTCTCTATTGAACATGCCCCTAGAAATGAATCCAAGTGATTTTAGACGAAATCAGGGAAATCGTCTACGGGAACATGGTGCGCGGCATAGCGCAACATAAGACACGCGGGGTCATGAAACATTAAGACGTTCTCCGGAATGAGGATGGCGCGGGTGTGCGGCCAAAAAGAGCAAGTAACAAACGAAAACCTCTAATACGCGTTGCTGGAAGCAACCCTTATGGCTATTTCTCCCAGATAAGCGCTGTATCATAATGAATAATCGATTTCACTAGATTGGCTACGGAAATCAATTCTTTTCCGGAAACTAGTATCTCAGTGGACGCAAATCAGGGTGTTTTCCAGAAGGATCCTGATAATACGTGTCCGGAACATGGGTGCGACATGGAGCGTGGGTCATTACGACGTTCTTCAAAATATTGGTGGTGCGGGTCTGGCGTAGTCAAAGCTAGTGTACTAAGGGATTTCCCACCACTGCGTCGATTAAAGAGGTTCGACGGCAGCTTTTTACTAGACCAATATTACGCTAATTTTCATGAACCCGATGAAAATGACGAGTGACTTTACATTTTGGAAGGGGTGAGGAGAGTGAACAAGGGCATGTTTCTGCTAATGGGTGAACATTGTCGAAGTATATCGTGGTAAGTATATCTGTTGATGTGCGCGTACGCGAAAGGACCTTCTTATAACCCTTCCCCTTCCCCTGCATGTTATAAGGGGGCTAACAAATCAACAGCTAACAAAAGTAGTGAGTATCGTACCTATGTACCTAACGAGAGGTCAATCGCTATCCGATGAAGTGGAGAAGATGAGCTAGCACTCGCTAAATAAATGTTACACTCATAAGCCACACACTTAGCGATTCCACAAAGAAGCGATGTCGACCTTTCAAATGGGAGTGAATGCAGCGGTAGATTCCGACGCAGGCAGGAAACGGAAATCCCGCTACTTTTGGGTTACCAGTGCATATGAAAACCTCACCGCTCACTGCTCTCTTGTTAAGCGTAGCGAAAACGCAATGACTACGAGACGGAGAAGATTTGGAGGCATTATAGGGTGTCGCATTTTGAAGCATAGTATTCCTGGGCAAAAAGAAAGATGCCTGAAGTTCATACTGTACTGGAATTATGAAAAAACCTTGGTGACTCGGGCGTTCTCTGCTAGTTGAAACTTGAGACTGAGCGTGTAGTTGATTGTTGAAACCCCAGTCGCATTGGTGATATCATTTAGTATTGCCATGTTGCGATGGTGCATCTTCTTGATCACAAGAGTGGACAACACCTTGATAAGCGTGACAATAATGAGCAGACCAGGCAAATAGTACAAGGATGATGCCGCTGAAATTGGTGGTGATGTGAATGAGGATTGGGATGAGCTAAAAGGTTTGTTATAATTAGACAAAAAGCGCGTCTAAGACAAATTGTCGTATCGGCCTAGCCGTATTTTCTGAGGCCAAGCAGCGCCTGGGTAACGGGTGCAAGTTTCCGTTATTCCGTGCGCCTAGAGCTTACAACGATGTTCGCTTTGGAAACGTTACCAAAAAAAGTGAAAAAGGAAGGTAAGTAAACACGATCCCGATATTCCTTCATATACTTGAAAAAGGATTGTGCTCCTTTCAAGGTGCTTTCAGAAGATTCTCTTCTGTCTCGGACGATGCATTTTCAATTGCCAAGGATGCTATTGCCTGCTTCGTTCTTTTAGCTTAACACTAGGAACGGTACTAAACTGGTCTAAAGTGCTAATTACCAGGTGGTCAGCGATGGATAGTGTCATGAGAATTTGCATCGAAGGTTTGAGTTTATGAGCCGCGTAAGCTTCGCAGACAATGCGGCAAAGCTATCAGCTTCAACTATGGTCATGTCCACGTATCCACCTTCCTTATTATTCAGCGCTCTCATGCTGGAAGTGGTTCTTCTTCAAAATTTCAAGGCAGCAATTTGTGTGTGCAGGTAGTAATTGACGGTCAAGACCCAATTATTACTTTGTGGGAAAAACGAAATTACTACTTGAATGTGAAAGGCAATAACAACAAGAGTGATGTGCAGAGGTATGTGTGTCAAGAAAATCGCAGTCCTTCGAAAATTGAGATATTTATATTTTGAGATATATTTATTTCATTTTTTGCCGGTTTCTGTCGGATTAGCAATAAGACTTTAACGTGCAAAAACTGCACAGGTTTGATCTTAGAAGTTGTCTCCGAGAGCACCTTCATCATAAAGAGAAATGGAACTTCTCTCTGAAAAACTTCGTACTCACCGGCGCCTGTGCCGACGGTTTGTAGCTGCGAAACGTGTGTTCTTACCAAGTTCCGCAATTTAGAGTTTGTGCATCTTGCTTGTTGCTATTTATAAACCGAATTGGCCACCTGGGTGATCTAACTGAAGTCAATGCTCAACTCTCGGACCGTATGTGGGCAAAGTCGATGCTTACCTCACGCCAATTGATTCGACGTATACAATAATAAATCTTATTGGCTAAACGAGAGGTCATTTAAAGATATGTTTTATTTCTCCCCTTTACTCCTCTTAGCTTGCCTTCCCTTCTGCATGTGCGAGAACATACTGCCCACTCAGAAGTTCGGTCATAATCGTAAGGATGCAATCAGAGGAATCGTGGAAAAATGAGCAAGTGAACAGCTCGACAGGGGCAACGGCTGCTATTGGGATGCAACGGACTACCTAATTTTTGATGGTTATATATGTGTGATTACCAGAGAGTTTGAGTGTATATGAAGTATGTGTACTTGCCTAGCGAGCAGAGGAAATAAATTAATGCACCGAGTACAAGAGAGGCGATGTTCACGAGATAAGAGATCCAAGGCTTTGGTATTCTTTCATAGATGCTGACAAAACGTGACGCAAAAGTCCGTTCAACAACCATGGCTGGGATCACAGTTGTCAGTGAACACAGCGATGCGAATCGTATTTCCAGCAGAAGGAAAAGCACCATATCGCGTTCGATATCTGAAATGTCGATATCTGAAATGGCAAGATTTGTTTACTATCGTGAATGTGTTTCAAAATTCTTTCAATATGTGGGTTAGGAATGACATGGACCAGTTCTCCGCCTATTAGCTACCCAACCCATTACAGGATAACATTGAACGATAAAATGGAATGGCATGCAACAAGCTGATTCATGACGCATTTCATTGAATTTATTTGTTTTTCTGCCACCCTATCGCTTTTTTATTGCAAATAGAGACATTATAAAACGATGGAATACTCTCCGCACAAGCAGTAAATTGGGTGCACTTATGCACACTTACGTGAATATAAACACAAGGGCGCTGACCACTGAGTTTCTGTTCTGCTAGCAGAAATTTGTTATTCTTCTACCCTTCCCCTTAGCGTTCCCAGAATTGCTTCGTTCTATAAGAGATCCATAAGGCGATTGATATAAACGTCGACGATCAAGCTTTATAGTGTATATGTTGCATGAGATCACAAGATATCAAAAGGTTGAACACGTGTATTTGTGGAGCCCAGCCATCGCTTTGATCGCGACCACAACACTGTTTTGCAAAGCTGAGCATTTGGCACCATTCTGAGGCCCCAGTTGTTTACCACCAACTTTTGGTAGGAATGCATATGCATAAAGGACCAACAAATGCTCAAACGTAATTATTATAAAGCTCCAACATAACACATATCAAATGTCGACTGCTATTTTCAAATGGCAGTACGTATGAAATGCAGGCGATTGCCTGCGTACTCAAGCAGTTCGACTTGTTGCCTAGTTTTGAGCGACACTCTCTAAAAGTGTCACAAGGCACACCCTGCTTTTAGAAGTTGTGGTTACTAAGTTTGAAAAAGTATAAACAGATGTATGAAGAGGACCGACCATGACTGAAAGTTAAGCAGATAATATCGCCTTACTTTCGTAAAAAAATTCAGGATGGAATTTCTTTATTTGTTTCGAAAGCATGCGGACACTTCACAAAAGGAACATGACTGTGATTGAATTTAGTGGGGCCTCCAGAGTTTCTGAGAGCTCAGACATCCTTTAAGGCATAATCTAAAGGACGTTTACTGGGCCTTGGAGCGCTGAATGGTCGTTAAGGCTGGCAAAGCCGAGCTCGGTCCGACAATGAAGAATTAGACAGGACGTGTGCTACTCTTTTGTTGTTTTGAGCAGTCAAGGATCGTAGATTCCTTTCAGAAAGAAGTTTGCCACGAATAGACATGACGATGTAATGAAAGCAGCAGATTCGGAACAAAACCGGTGAAAATTTCGACGCCAAAATCTGATCTCCTTCAAGTGTCCATACTTTTGAAACAAAGAAAAAAATTCAGTCTAAAAATTTTCCACAAAAGTTAGGCGATATTAACTGCTTAATGTGCACTGAGACGTTATTGACTTCGAGGAAGGAAGGAGGAGTGTTTCGTAGCACGAAGCCTCTCAGTTAATTGCCAAAATTCGGTTTCCGAAAAGAAACAGCCTTACAAAATCACACTCTATTGACACTTGAAGGTGGGTGCCGTAGGTGGGGCATGGGAAGAAGTGCGCCTCGGGGCAGCCAGGTGTCACACGACGTAAAGAAAGAATCCGGTGAAAGCCGATTGGAGAACAGAAACAGTGCAACGAAAGAATATGATGCAGTAGAAATGTGAGTCAATGTAATGAGGAAAGGTCGAAAAGAGTTTCTATTGACAGCATTCCGTGAACCAAGTGGAGGCGCTTCCGCCGCCGCCGTATTTGTGACAGATGTACGGCGGAAACGGAAACGTGTGGCAATTCCTCTAGTTTTTTGAACTGTTTACCGAATCTGACTTGTTTTGTTTGTTAACTGCTGTTTTTGGCCGCAGTTCGCCTTGCGAATGTTTCACAAGAATGCTGGGTTGTGAACAAAACTTTCGCCCCAGGCGGGACTAGAACCCGCACCTCTCGCTTTCCGGGCAAGTGCGCTACCAGTTACGCTACCGGGGCACCATTTCATCCCAACTCAGCTTTTCATGGTATACGTACCATAGCTTTCAGCACTCACACGTATAACGTGTTGAGTTTCACCTTGCGTATGTATTTCACCTTGCAAATGTTTCACAAGACTTCTTGTGAAACATTCGCAACGCGAACTGCGGCGTTAAAACAGCAGTTAACAAACAAAAACAAGTCAAAATTCATTGCTAAAGCTTTCAGCCTCGCGGTCATTGCCGATATCGGCTAACCGGCTCAACACGTTATACGTGTGAGTGCTGAAAGCTATGGTACGTATACCATGAAAAGCTGAGTTGGAATGAAATGGTGCCCCGGTAGCGTAACTGGTAGCGCACTTGCCCGGAAAGCGAGAGGTGCGGGTTCTAGTCCCGCCTGGGGCGAAAGTTTTGTTCACAACCCAGCATTCTTGTGAAACATGTTACGAATCAATGCATATTTTCGTTCATATCTTGGACCATGGGTTCCAAGAGATGAAGAGATGAGATCATGACTTTTCCAGCAAGGATTCCTTCAAGGACGGCCACAGTATAACGGAGACACGCAGCGTGCCGCGGATATAGATAAATTGAAGGAACACTCCGTAGTGCAGTTGACAGATCTGTATGGCAGATACATACCGAGCAATAGTAGGGCAACTCAGAGCTACTCGTCTCAAGCATTGACAAGTTTTTGAAGCTTCTGTTGAGTTGTTGCGAACAGAGTAAAGGGCACGTCAATGAATTATGCAAACAGGTTCATCTAACCCACCGAAGGGATCACTCCAGTGGATTATCGAGCGCGTCCTGTGAAGCACTTACCTTTTCTATAAATGAATCCCAAGTCATAGAAAGCAATAACGAAGCGTGATGTTACTGATATCGCCAACGTAATGAAGATGCACCTAAACATTGTGAATAGGTGATGTGCGCAGTGAAATTCTATCGTTCTACGACTACTCAGGACAAAATTGACTTCGATTTTGACTCAGCTGATGGAATGAGGCTAAGAAGCATAAACTTGCAGCTTGGCCGCAACTCCTTCTAACAACTTTGGAATTAATTTCAGAAATAATCAAAATATATAGGCCGGGATAGAATATCTGTAATACCTGCATCACTCGGATAAGGTTTTTGTGGAACAGTTGAACCGATCTGTCAAGAGCTCGTATTAGGAGGATAAATCCGGGAAGTGCAATTACAATGGATCCAATCTCGGTCGCGTATAGGATTTTAAAGCTAGGCCACGATTCAAGCGTTTCTCGGCTAGGAAATATCACAGGTACGAAGAGGGTGAAGCCATCCCACAACGCAAATTGCATCCTGCTGGTATCTACAAGAATTCAATATCTAAGCTATGGGGCACGCCCACTGAGGCTCATGAATTGCTCACACAAGTAGTCGGAATGCCGTTCTGCTGGATCATTAACTCAGTGGGGAGGAGAGAGTTGTGAAGGAAGAAAACTGAGAAATACGTCAATTCATGTAATGGCAGCAGTGTTTCTTTGCTTGTTTAGCAATAGCCTAACTTGATATACATTGAAAGCCTTACGTTATGACGGATTCTCCTTCCATGACGCTTGAGAAGTGTGGGTAGTATCTCATTGAACATCCGATTCAAAAATGCACAAAATTTTTTTATCAGTCCGGCACTCATCCGATGCTGCTGGTTAAAATCGCTTCGTTCATCATGATGCAATAGGGGAGGCTCCCTTTGCCTTGATGAACTCGGTCACCACTTTAAATATCAGCACACGCGAACGTCCATGGAAGTTCATGCATTGTTGCAAGATTTTTCTCTGATGTAAGCAAAAGCCCTTCCTTTTACTGCGCCTCCATCCCTACCAATACAGAAGAGTTCTTCCTTCTAGTCATGATGAACGAAGCGATTTTAACCAGCAGCATCGGATAAGTACCGGACTGATAAAAATTTTTTGTGCATTTGGGAATCGGATGTTCAATGAGATACTACCCACACTTCTCAAGCGTCATGGAAGGAGAATCCGTCATAACGTAAGGCTTTCAATTTATATCAAGTTAGGCTATTGCTAAACAAGCGAAGAAACACTGCTGCCATTACATGAATTGACGTATTTCTCAGTTTTCTTCCTTCACATCTTTCTCCTCCCCACTGAGTTAATGATCCAGCGTAACGGCATTTCGACTACT